GCAGCAAAATGTGATTGCTCTTCTGATGTCTGCCTCAAACATTCAATGCAGTGCAATCAGAATTTACCAAAAATAGATTGTGGCTTTTACTATTGCTTCAGACTCCGAGTTGCACTGATTTTGAAACCGTGGCCTGCTGTTATCGTTGCTCATTGCTTAACTTAATGAGCATTGGCAGTCATCGTTCTTTTTAGAACCTGTCAAGTCCCACTAGTCAGTGGGCTAACTAGAAGTGACGATTCATTGCTTTATGACCAGTGATTACGAGAGGAGTTAAAAACAGAAAGACGCACAAACAAAAAGGAGGTTTCATTAGGAATTAATTAAAATCCATTTCTGTTGTAATAATGTAAGCTTTACCCCAGGTAGCCTCATCTAGAGGAATTTGTCCCCACACCCACCCCATCAAATGCTCCCATGTTGTCTTCTTCATCGTGGGGTGAGAGCACAGTAGATGCTTAATGAGGATTTGTAGAAAATAAAGAAAGTACACCTAGGAAGCTGATGTTTGGGGACTGGGAATTTTTAAAGGGGGAATATAGTACTCAGCATATAAGGATTCCAATTATTCTGGAAAGAGAAACACACCATTTAGCTATGTTTACAATTCAGAGCAATGAGAAAGAAACAACAAAACAGACAAACAGACAAACAGGAGAAGCAAAAGGCTAGTCTAGTCAAGTGAGAAATGCCTGATTTAAAAGATCATGTATACGGTGACTTGAAATGCACGCAGACGTTGCCTCGTATAGTTCTGGAGGTAAACACTGCACATGACTGTGGGTTGCTGAATAACACTAGCTTCATGGTTTTGTTTCTTTTATTTTTTCTGCAAGGTCACTTAAAAAGAAAGCCTTCCTAGCTGTGGACTCTTTTTGTAGGGTAAAACAATTTCGCGAGGACCCCCTGTGCTTCAGTCATTTTAGGAAAGTTTACAGGAGGTGGTACACAATTCATTTTGGTTCTTTTTGAACTGATTTGTGTGTGAGCCAAGCTATCTATTCTGGGTCGACTTGGTAGGCAAGCAGCTGGTCTCCATTTCCACTGAACAGCGAATAATAGAAAATGGGCTTAAATTGCCGCTGGGAGGGATTTGTTGGAGATGGAAGAGAAAATGTCCCGATTGTAAGATTGTAAGAGTTTAGAGGTAGTGGAACTGGTTGTGTAATTATATTCCCTGGAGGGCTTTACAAACCATAGAGCCAGTTGTCACTGCTGCATGGTTCCCAAACAGTGTGGGTATTGCCCAGAGGCACCATCTGGAAGAGGTGACCCCTGGAGAGCTCTCCCAACACTAGGATTTGTTTTTGTTTTTGTTGTTTTATTATAAGTGGCATCTGGTATAGTTCTAAATGGCGGGGCTGCATTAAGACAGAAGAAATCATTGGTCAGGTCCTGGAAGTGCGTTAGAATGGGAAAAGTAGCAGTTTGACTGTATTCTTGGAAGGGTTGTCGTTCTGGTTCTCAACAACATACCCTACTAGTTTGAGGATGATTCCAAGTGTATGCAACATCTGTAGCCTTGTAGTTGCTTTGCTGTTTGTCTTCCCTCCTTCCATCCTCGGGTATAAAAAGGAACATTTCCAAGCTGCGAGACTATTTATTCCATTTCTGAATTTTCTAAATCTTAAACATGTTTGCAAAAATCATAATGGTCATTGTTTTCATGGATCCTATCTTTTCGTGAGCATGTTGACTACTCTCAAATATTGAAGAAAAGGGAGCAGCTACATTACCTTATTCTGTGCTCTCTTGCAGATGCATATCCAAAGAGTGAGATGATCTACACCTGGACCAAAGGTCCTGAGAAATCAGTCGAAGTTCCGAAGGAGTCTTCCAGCTTGGTTCAGTATGACTTGATAGGGCAAACAGTATCAAGTGAAACTATCAAATCAATTACGGGTGAGATGCTTAACCCCCTGCTTGATGTTAATGACAGAGCTTCATCCTACTTCTTCATTGAAATATCCGGTGTTTTCAGAGGAGTCGCAAGAAATGTTCAGAAACAGAGTTGATGCATACATCACAATTCAAGATTTATTTATAATTATAATCTTATTTTAGTTCAAAATGAAATGTGAGTTGTTCCTCTTATTCAGGAACAAAAGTCAGTAATCAAATATATTAAGACAGTTTTAAACAAAGAAATGAAGACGGAGGAAGTTCCACTACTGGTTTTTTGTTGTTTATTTTTTAACCTTGGAATTGTGTGTGTGTGTGTGTGAGTGTGTTTTCTCAGAGTCGTTTTTTTAAACCTTGCCTAATTTCATTGTTCTTGTCTGGATTTTTTTTTAAGAGAAAAGGCAAAAACTCTAAAGGATAATTATAAAATATATCAAGATATGCCTTAAAGTTGTCACAGAGTGATGGATAATTATTCTTGAGATTTCTTGTTCTGTTTTTGTAAATGAGATGTGAATGGAAAGAAACAGTTTTTATCATAATTAATGCTAATTAAGGCTAAGCATTGCTTGTTCTCAGTACAGCCATCACATGCACACATTAGTGGGGAAAAACTTTTTTTTTTCCGTCAATGACTTTCCTGCTTTGATTTTCAAGTGGGTTTAAAACAGCCCTGGGAGGATCGAAAGCACCTATTCTTGGTTTCGGTCTGAATAAGATTCAGCTCCCCAAACCAAACTCACTACCATTGAGCAAACTGATAACAGTAGTTTATACTTCTCTGCTGGTGCTCACCTTAAATTTAATCCCAAACCAAACCATGCTCACTGCCATCAGGACACAGGAGAGAACTGCCCAACGCACGACCACCACGCCCCGGGCTCCTCGGAATGCCGTCATGGCTTCGTCAATGCCTTTCTTCACGGGTCCTCAAGTAGAGCGTTAGACTTTCTTGTCATCCAGAACTCTTATCGTTTGTTTCACACTTTGGTGTTTTTTGAGGCATCTGGCTCGAATGCTAATAAAAATCCTGGAAGCCACGCCTCTCCTTAAGCTGGTGTGTGTGTGTTCTACTGACATGCACACTGGCTTAAGGAGAGACTTGGCTTTAGAGAAGAGTTACATTTTTAAATGTTTATGTAGATGAAGAAAATACAAGCAGACATGTATAACATAAAGGAATATATAACACCCTCCCTTGGGTTCAAGGTTTAAGATCTACTCTCAAAAAATGGTTAAAAATAAATGAAGGCTAATTGCTTCAGCAATATTAGACTTTAAAACAACAAAAAAAAATACTGCAAGATATTTTTTTAAGTGATAGCCCAGTTTATTAAATTTCTAAGTCACTACATAGAAAGTGTTTTTTGGTCAAATGATCTTCAATGTCATTTCCCTCCTAGTTAGGAAACTACATATTCCTCAATGTTGAGTTGTTATGTACCAAAGATAATTTCCTTGCCCTGAATACTGATTTTCAGTCTGTAATATATGATTATGATGCTGTTGAAAGTTTGCCTGCAGAACCCATAACACATTTTCCTCATGTTTTATTTGTAGGTGAATATATTGTTATGACGGTTTATTTCCACCTCAGACGGAAGATGGGTTATTTTATGATTCAGACTTACATTCCATGCATTATGACAGTGATTCTTTCTCAAGTTTCCTTCTGGATAAATAAGGAATCCGTTCCAGCGAGGACTGTATTTGGTAATTGCAATTCATTTCTGGGGTGTTTTCATCCACATTACATGTTGATCATGATTCATGGCAACTCTTCTTAGGATTTGTTTCTAAGAAAGCCTCAAGGCATCATCCGTCAGGCTCCCCTGCATACAGAATCATGTAAGCTTTCATTTTGCTCTGGTGAATACAAAATAATGAGATCTGAGCGTAATTGGGGACTTCATCCCGTTCTCTTGAGGCCCCTTCAAATCTCCCTTGTTGACAAGGAGACATAGGAGGACAAGGTGTGACTCTGGAGATAATTTCACTTTTTGTGATATTCTTGTTCTCCTATCTTAATACTGCGTAATTGAATTAAAATTATAGCTAGGTGTTAAAATGAAATGCACTGGGAGCTTAAAATAAAACAAATAAAAGTCATGGCTGGATGAATCTGAAAGCCTCAGAATAATTTGGCTTTTAATAAAGAGGAACTTATGCAAATGATGGAATGCATTGAAGTGGACAGTCTTATAGATTTAGTTTACTTGTGCTATATTCTAGATACTTTTTTATTTTTAGTGGCATCCTATATATTGTGTTTTAAACCTTATCAAGCCTGCAACACGTGAGTTCTAAGTTTTTCAAATGGTTGTCAATCTTCCATGTCAGTTTCACTTTTCAATAGTGAGATGAGTTACCATATTTAATATCAGAATTCTCTCTGCAGGGCATCATGGGTAGCCAAAGTGTTCAGTGGTGGGATGAGGGGGCAAATGACGGAACTGCTGCAGAGTGGCGGCAGTTGTCACCAGAGTTGCCTGGTTTGGTTTCTTTATTTAGTTGGATCAAAGCCTTACTATGCTGCTTCTTACCACACCACCACTGAAGTGAGGCTGGTGAGAAGGGACAAGGGGAAGTGGATGCTCTCCCCAAATTCTGATGTTTCTAATCCTACCTCCCCACTCTGTTAGTAACCACTCATATGCAGTGATGTCTTGGTGCCCATAATAGAGCTGCGTATGGGGCTGCTTCTTCCATGAAGCCCTCTCTTCCCCAAGAAGGTAAGCACATCCCACTGTGCAAACTCTCAAAGAAGGCTCAGTGTTGGAAGCAGGATGCCATTCTCAGCAAAGCAGTGAGACGCTATAATGGCACCACCCGTTGGATTGCTTTGTGAGGATGAAATCAAAGAACAACTGCACATTGCAAATGTTTAGTAAAGTTTAGCTATCAGAAATACTGAATGATGTCTTCACACCTCGGAGCACTGGGTTGAAGTTTTGTCCCTCTTTTCCTGTGGAGATATAAACAATACCCTCCCCTTGGGTGGGTTAGCGCCCCGTGCCCCCGCTACCCATTTCTTCCTTATGTTCATCATTTTTTT